AAAAATAAAATAATTATAGGTTGAATATGACATTTTGTCTTATTAATTATTTTAACATATTTTATCTTTATTAACTATTTTAGTCAAATAGTCTCTAGCCAAACAAGGCCTTTATGAAATAGAAAAAAGTTACGTTTTTATGATTTGCGAATTTTTTTTATCAACCATGCTAGAGGGCCACAATTTTTGTGGTCACAATGGCTCAAAACTGCCAAAACGACGTCATTTTTGATGCAAAACATGCCAAAACGATATCATTTTGATAATATTAAATCATTGTGACCACAAAAATTGTGACCCTCAAATATTTTTTTTTTTTATAGTTTAATAGATTATTATGAGAGAGAGAAAGTTGATTGATTCACGTGTAGGTTGCGGCACTTGAACAGATAGTTTGGTTTTACAAATAATCTTTACACTCTCATCTCTCTAATTTGCACAGATAAAAAAAATTAACAGATATATACAAAAAAAAAAAGAGTAGAGAAATTTGAACAAATAGATTTAATTTGGACACAAAATTTAGCTAGATAAAAATTAAAACAAGAACTTAAACAGATAGAATTTCACACCGACCATATTTCAATAAATAATAAAAATTGGACAAATATTTGAACAAATAAAGGGAAAAAATTAAACAGATGGTCAAAATAATTCAACAGATAGGTAAGGGGTAAAATTAGAAATAAAATATCCTTCAAAACAATAAAATGACTTCTTACCAAACTATTTCACAAATGATGGGCGTTCGGATCCTCTAGAGTAACTCTCTAGAGTGATCCTCTAGAGTGGATGATCCGACGGTTCAGAATCGTCCTTACCAAAACGACGTCGTTTTGGTGAGGATTTTCAAAAAAAAAAAAAAAAAACATTTTTTTGCCAATTTCAAAATTCCCCCCAGCTGAAGAATGTCATTCCAGCGGGAAGAAGCATACCTGCGAAAGAAGGAGAGAGGGAAGAAGAGGCAAAGAGGCTGCTCCGTCGTGCATCCCGTCGGGAGAGGGAAGAAAAGTTACAGAACAGGTCGCCCCCGCCGTGCATCCCGTCGGAATATCATTCCAGCGGGAAGAAGCAAACCTCCTTTTATCTCTCTGTTTTTCTCTCTCAATTTTCTGTCCAGTTTCTCGGAAAATTACAGAAGATCTGGAGCTCGCGATTGAGGTTTGTAAATTGTTGTCTGACTTCGATTTTCTATCTTTTTTGTGTAGAGATTTTCAATGCTTGCTTCCACACACACACACCTGCCCTTTTTGGTATTTTGTTATGATATAAATCAATCTATGCAGTCACGATTCTTTTGTTATCAAATCTATTTATTCATTTGTCTCAATACACTTCAACAGTATAGTTTTATATCTCGAGAATTTTGTTTCTCAAAATGTCCAAGAAATGATGCAGTTGAGAGTATATTGGGACAAAAAAATACTGAGACTTGGGAACATGGGATTTGAAGTGGATTTGGCTTTGATTTCTCTACTTCTTCGTGAAGATTTGTTTGTTTCATTTCCATATTACAGAGAAAAGGCTTGTTCAGAGCTCTGTAATCGGGACAAATTCCAATTTTTTTACCATATTTTGATTATCAATCCTCGTAATTAACTCAATTTTTGTTGGACAGGTACATTTCCAGGAGATGTTGAAGCAGTTTTTAGATGACATCTGAACTAGGAGATCAGTTTATGGGTTTGCGAGATCGGAATCGGATATGAATCCCGACGATTCAAGCTTTGAAATGTTCTCGATTTCTTAGAAATCAACTTATCAATTTGAATATTCATAATCTCAAGACCTAAAAAATCGAAGCTTCCTCTGAATTCACTTTTTAAATCTGCTATCAATTTCGCCATATTCCTTTAATTCATTCACGCTGTTGTGAAGACAAACCCAAGTATAAAAAGGTATTTCAAAAAATCAGAATAAAATCAAGTTCGATTTTGCAATTTAGCTGATGATTTGATGTTCTCTGCTATTGCAGTTTCATTTGGCTTTGATTTCTTTGCTTCTTCATGAAGATTTGTTTGTTTCATTTCCATATTACAGAGAAAAGGCTTGTTCGGAGCTCTGCTATTGCAGTTTCACAGAATTTGGAATCAGTTTCAGAGAATTTGGAATCAGTTATTTTTCTTCAAGCAAGTTGCATCTTGTTTTTCTGTTTCAGGTATAGCTGTTTCAAAATTTGATTTTCATGTTGTAATGTTTTTGGGTTCGTTGTTGGTTTAATTTTTTTGGATTCCTATCTATGTTGTTGGGAATAGTAAATTTCTCACTTTCCTCCCCTCACCCAGAATCTGAGATTTTCCCCAATCTCCTCCTCCTCCTCCTTTGTTTGGCAGCCGATAAAATAATGCTTACTGAAGATAAGAGATTGAGAGTTGAATTTATTTGAAAAATGGAATTTCTGTTTCTTTCCCATTTTTGTCACTCATCAGTTCCTCAATCTCAACGCTGAAGAATAAACTAAAATTAAAGCTATTGTGCTTGTTTTTCCTTTTGTCAATTATTAATTTAGGAAGTGTCTATTGTGCTTGTTTTTCCTTTTGTCAATTTGGTTTCTAATTAAATGTGAGGAAGAAGAAGAAACTTAAAATGTTTATTATTATAGTATTTTCTATTTAAGGCCCATGGAAATACAAATTAAAGTAAGCATATGATTAGTTTTTTTAGTTTTGTTGCACTAATTTTCCTTTGAACTCTTAGTTAGCAAACATGGGATTTCAATTTATAGAAAATGACTAGTTAGAAATATGGAAAGGTAGCTGATGCTTTACTAGTGAATTTATCTGCTTCATTTCTTATTTGGCCTGATATGGTCTAGTAATTATTGATCATAAGAGTGTAAAAATTATTAATTAGTAGAATTGTTCCTTGTTTCTTTATATATATTCAGGTGGTACGTTTGTTATTCGTTAATTATCTTATTCGGTTTGTATACAGTTTTTATGCTAATATGGAGCACTTCTTAATTTTTTAAGTGACTTGGCACATTCAAATGGAACCTAACAATCAATCTAATCATGGATGCACATGCATGGATGAATATGCATATACTTTCATACATAGGCAAGATTCTTGGCCTTAGCCCACCCTATTTGTTAGTATCTCTTTTATTTTTTTTATAATTTCAGAAACAAAATAGTGAAGAGTTTGAAAACAAATTTTGAAAAGTCAAAATAACTTTTTGGCATTTTCTAAAAGGTAAGTTGTTTTTAGAAATTTTTTATTTGTTTTGGGAAATAGTTCATTAAGTAAATTTTGCATGTTTTCGAAAACTAAAAATAGAATTGAACCAGAAAAGTCTCCTAAGAGGGAGCCAAACTCCTTTTCATTTATCATAAATTCTTAACAATAATAATATATATTCAATAAAATTATCCAGAAAAGTATCCAGAAAAATAGATCTATGGCTACAGTTATTCTTGGTGTGACCCAGATTTCACAAACTTTAAATTTAAACTGTACACCTCACTTTTGGGATAATTTTCGAAACAAAAATTCATAATAAATATCATTTTCTAATTCTTAATGATGAAAAAAATATACACTTAAAATGCAATAGTATTTTCAAGAACTTTTCCTAAAACTTGTAATTGAAACCACAATAACCACTCAAGCTTTGAGCTTTTTCATATTGCTTCCATTTCCTATTTGTGTTCCCCTTGTTTCACATTAGATTTTGTTTTCTGGCTTGCCAAACACAATGGTACCCTGTAAGTATTACTATATTGCCAGAAGTAATCTGTCCAGAAGTAATCTGTCTTCAATACCCTCCTAGCACCAACCCTCCTAGCACCAACCCCCTTTGAAAGAATCAATTCCTAAGGTAAGAACACTTGAAGCATCATTATCAACTTCAGTAGCTTCTAATAAGTTCTCATAATTCAATTCAATTGAATAAAAGGAGTACATGCACATTTTGTAGGTTGACAACATCTTGTAGGTTGATAGGTTTCCCAACACTATAAGCTTCTCCCAATACAAGAAACACAACTTTGGGAGAAAAATAAAGTTTTTATGCAGAGCATTTAAATACAAAGGAGGAAATCAAAGACTTAATACTGCAGTGGACACTAAAAAGGACCAATAAAAATGCTGAGGTTTAACAGAATCAGTAGAGAGAAATTTAAAACATACAACCAATGTTCTATATATATTCTAGAACTTGGCAAAAGCAAGAGAATGTTATGAGTCTAGAAAAAGGTTTAAAAAATCAGAATTTAGCAAACAACATTTCCAAAATCATGATTACACATTGTTCAGGAATTCTGAAAACATCCCAAAATGAAAGACAATAGAATAGGGATTCCCAGTGTGAAAATACAACAACAAATAATAAAAATGAAAATAATGTCCAATTATTAAATAAAGCTTTCCTCCAAAAGGATGTGAGAACTGTGAATATAGAGTGTAATTAAGGACTCTCACTTTTAACTTTTCGTACATGACTATGTTTAACCAAGTGTTTATATGACTATGGAGGTATTAAAATTACATAATTTTAGTAGTGGATTGAGTGCATTATTTATTATCATTCTTTTCTTTTCTTATCTTTTTTTTGTTTTTTTTGTCCTATTTTGAGAAGTGGGAAGCAGAAATCTTTTACAATAATTACACAAGGATTCAAATACATAAAGGATCTTTTATATGAGAAATTGATTGGTAGGTTTTTTGTTTTGCATATGTTAAGTGATTAGCTACATACATCTACATATAGTCCTAATTATACTTCCTTTGCAGCCTCAGCCCTTTTGAACCAAATTATCTGTCAATGAATTGTACTAGCTTGTGACACAGAGCACAAGTTGTGTGATTTGTGCTATCAATCTGTTAGTTATGTATACTCAAGTAGAGGAATAGGCTCTACAAAAATCAAGTAGAATGTGTAAGTTTTGACATTTCTGAATTCTTGAGAAATAAAACAGCAGCCTTTAATTATTGAGAAAGAAATCTGTTTTGATTTTTTATGCAGACAAATCAGCAGCCTTTAATTGTTGACATTTCAGAAATATGTTGGTATTTTTAATGCAGAAAAATAATGGCTTCATCTTCCATTCACAATACGAACTTAAGATTCAAGGCAAGGTTTTGTAATTGTGGAAGAATAGTTTCCGTGCGTGTTGTACAAACCAATGCGAATGGAAATCAAGGGCGTGTCTATTTTGTTTGCCCAAGAAAATATGTAAGTACCTGTTATATAAATGAATATGTTACTTTTTACAAATTTCATTTGTCGTTTATTGATTAACTTATTATTGTCCATTGTAGACTACGAACGAACACTGCAATTACTTCAAATGGTTCGCAAATGATGACGACGACGACGACGACGACATTACCTCATTAATCCGTGCCAATGATGGACCTCCGACAGATGCAAGAACAGAAGAAATTAATGATCTGAGGAGAAGGGTTGAAAGAATTGAGAAGATTTTCAAGGCAATGACTTATGTTATTGTATTTTGTGTATTTTGGTACTTTATCATGTAAATGACTAAGTTCTTAGGTTTTGGAATTTTTATTTGGTGCTTCAAAATCTGATGGTTTGCAAAAACAAGTGTGTAACATGTTTGATGGAGATGAAATGTTGAATGAACAGTTTCTGAAATCTATTAGTTCAAGTTGAATGTTATATAACAGGTTTCTGAAATGTTGTGTCATGTTGAATGTTGAAATGTTGAATAATGTTGAAATGTTGAAAATGTTGTATAACAGGTTTCTGAAATCTATTGAAAATGTTGAATGTTGTATAACAGTGTGTATTATATGTGATGGTTTGAGGAAAACAGGCATATTGATTAACAGGTTGAACATGAGCTATTGAAATATGTTCAATGAACAAGTTTGTCTATGAGGTTTTATGTGCAGAATGGGTATCTACAGAAGACATGATTCTCATTTCGTCGTTCTGTTTTTATATTACCTACTTCCATAGATCATTGCGCAAAACAACCATTAAATCACCCAAAAAATCAAATACAAAGCAAATGTAACCTACAAGAGTTGACAACATACTGCATATATGATTCCAATGCAAAATTATGATGCTGATAACATAATAAAATGAACAAATGAGTTCCAGAACAATTCCCCATAGGTCAAATGAACAAATCCCCATACATAATGAAATGAGTTCCATAACACACAGCAAGGTCGAAAACAAAAAGCTATCAACTTTGCTTATATTGAACCCAAATTTCAGCATAAATTCAGCATTATTCTGCAAGAGTGTGCAGCAATTTCAGCATTATTCAGCATAAATTCTGCACTATTCTGCAAGAGTGTGCAGCAAATTCAGCATTATTCAGCATAAATTCTGCACTATTCTGCAATACTGTGCATCAATTTCAGCATTATTCAGCATAAATTCATCAATATTTTGCATAAATTCAGCATTATGCAGCAACATTTCAACATTTCAGCATTTCAAAATTTCAGCAAATAACTTCAGTAACATTTCATGAACTCAGACAGCAACATTTCTGCATTATTCAACCAACATTTGAACATAAATTGCAGCAAAATTTAAGCAACAATTGAACCCAAATTTTTAGCAACAGTTTAATGAATATTACATATCCAACCAAAAATTCACAAAAATTCCCAAAACAAAATAACGCTAAGATGTTGGCGTGTGATCCACATCCCCATGCCCACGGCCACGCCCACGACCACGACCATGACCATATAGTACCTACAAAAAAAATAAAATAACATTACATCAAAGGAACCATAAAATAAAATGAAACTTTACATGAATGAATGACAAAATAAAAGAGGGAAGGTGAAAAAAAAATTACTTCACTACATGCGGGACTATTTGAAGCTTGCGAGTGATAACTATTTGCATTGTTCAGCAATGCTTGATAGGTTCCATGGACGGAATACATCGATGGCATTGAAAAATGCATATTGTGATGAAGATAACTTGGCTGCAACAATAACAAACACATATCAATCTAAAATGATAATAATCAGCTACAAATCCGTACTAAAACTTTTTATTAAACTAACTTACATCATAGGCGGGATACATAAATTGAGACGGAGAAGCTCTAACTTGAGGAACACTCGGCGAGAATGGAGGAAGTTGAGGAACACTTGAAAATAAAGGAGCCGACTGAGGAATTAAGGGAGGTGCTTCAGGAGCACTTGCCGAAAATAAGGGAGGAGTTTGACGAGTAACAGACATGGAAGTTTGAGAAGCATTATGTGAACTTGTTTTATTTTTCTTTGCCAACGCAAGCTCCAAACCACCTTTTGTCCGCCGTCGTCCCTTGCTAGTGCACTCTTTTCTCTTGAGTCCTTTTGCTTGGACTACATTTTTATCCGCTACACCATCCACTTCAAAGCTTTCGGGGCATGTGTTGGGGGGGCTTTCTTGTTGAATAGTATCTGAACAAGGCATATTGAATTTTGCGCTTAACATGGTTTCAATGTCTGCAATTAATTCATCCGCTTTCTCAACCGTCAAATTATATGTTTCCTCACTTTCAGAAGCTCTACACGCTACTGATCTGAATATTGCCATCAATGACCTATAACGTGAAGTTTGATGCAATCTTACATCAACCTGAATATCATGCCCACACCTATCTTTCACATTTTCAGATCTTGCTTTTTTAGTCCATCTCTTCAGAATATACTGTGAAGGAATCTCTTTCAATTTGAGTCTTTCTCTAAGGATCTTCAAACAATGACTACACAAAATGCCCTTCATTTCAAACTTCCTACAATTGCAAGTGACCGAATCATCACACTCTTGCCTCACCTTCCTCACCTTTATACCATCACTATCAAGAACCGTATAAACGGTACTCTCACCATCATTTTCAATTTCTTCAATGTTGACTTCAAGGGACTTGACATACTCATCCTGAAATTCTTCAAAAATTTTATTTGTGTAAACAGCTGCAGCTTGCTCCATAATCTTCACTTTAATATTCACCCTGGGCAACTTTTGGCATAGAGCATATTCAGCTTGTAACTCTTTGTACCTTTTCTCAGACAGAACTCGATCAAAATGCATGAAAAATTGCATTAAGTTATGATCAGACCGAATGAAATCCTTCAAGAAAGCATTAAAGAATTCACTAAGTTGGGTGCTACTCATATCCACACCCCATGCATTTTTAACATATGGCCAACCCCATTTTTCCTTGACCCCAAATGTTAACTTCAACCAATGATTATCTATTACTTCATACTTGTCAAGCATTTCCTCCCATTTTAACATAAACTCTTCCTCATCCTCAATGTCGTACATAAACGTGTATAAAACACTCTTCACCCCCTTATCCTTCATCGACTTATCCTTGAAGATAGAATTTGCATGCCTTAATGCATTTTGCATCAAATGCCAAGTGCAAAGGCGGTGGGTTGTGTTAGGCATGACAATAGGTATGGCCTTAGCCATTGCAGCATCCTGATCCGTAAAAATTGTTTTTGGAGCCTTACTTGACATTGCCTCCAAGAATCTTCTAAAAAGCCATACAAAAGAATCGGCGGTCTCATCATACATCAAAGCTGCACCAAATACCACAGTTTCCCTATGATGGTTCAATCCAACAAAAGACGCAAATGGTCTATGTGCACTATTTAACTTGTAAGTAGTGTCGAAAGTGACAACATCACCAAATTGCCCATAATCCATGATCATCTGAGCATCGGCCCAAAATATGTTCGTAATCTGCTCCTCGTTATCTAATTGGACCGAGTAAAAAAAAGATGGATTCTCCAATGATTTGTCACGAAAATATTGCAAAATGCTACCTGCCTCCCCATATGCTAAACTGTTTTGCCTCTTCGTTCTCAAATAATTTTTTTGGTCAAGTTTTGTAAACCCAAGCGACTCCCTTCCACCAACTTCATTACCCATGAGCTCAAATGCAGCATTAAGACGGATTCCAGATCTTTCGGCTAAATCTATTTCGGTTGCCTGTGATGAAGATATCTTCCTTTGGGATGGTAACATATGCGTACATTCTGCTGGTACGAAGATATGATTATGTTGTTCAACAAAATCACTAACAAAAAATTTCTACATATTCCTATCCCACTTAATGACAAGTCGGGCTTGACAACCAGACCTCACTTCCTGCCTAGGATTTTTTGTTAATGAATCTCGCTTGTCGACAACCCGAAATCCCTCCTTATTACAAACAAATTGCCTTGAAGTGATTTGCCCGTCGAACCACAAGAACCCATAACCCCTTCTAATACTAAAGCCCAACCTTCCTCCATAAGTATTATAGAAATCATATGCTTCTTGTTCTGTATCAAACGTCATGCGAACTCTAGGCTTCCAATCACACTCACCCCCGTCATTCTCATGATTGTTAGGTTCCATTTGAATGTGCCAAGTCACTTAAAAATAAAAAAGTGCTCAATATTAGCATAAAAACTGTAAATTATGTTTGCAAAATATTACAAACTAAATAAGATAATCAAGGAATAACAGAAATTAGATAATCAAGGCAAACAAAAAAAAAAATAGAAATTAACAAGAACCAAATGCCAAGTGCAATAATAAAAAAAAAAACATGTTCTAAACATATGTAATAAAAAAAAAAAAGAAAGATAATCAAGGCATGCTAAGTGCAATAATAAAAAAACTTGTTCTAAACATATGTAGACTGAAATTTTGAAAACCTGTTCTAAACATATGTTGATTGAAATTTTGAATTTAACTACTTAATAGACCCATACAAAAAAAAAGGGGGGATTATTTTTCATTTCATCCAGGAAACACCTAAACTATCTATAAATCTATATTATATATATATATATATATATATAATCACAATGAATATTTGTTCTAAATAATCAAATTCTCCAAGGATTGTTCTAAATCTATATACATATCTAAACTATTGTCTCTCTCTCTATATATATATAATGTATAATGTGTATATATATATATCTATTATCACAGGGATTGAGCAATATTCAGCACAACACAGATGAGACAAAAAAAATTTATGTTCTCAACCGTAGGGCTATCTAATAAACACTCTCATTCTTGCTCCTAATAGGAAAGGCTTTATGACCATATGATGCATTTTCGGATTAGGGTCCAGTTATGATATTGTACAGAAATTTCGCACATGACTAGAACGCGACTACAATCTTGATTTTAATCTTCCAATTTTCACGCAATGTTTGCAAGACAAAAATGATGAACTAATCTAGCGGGTGTATGTAAACAAAGCCCGTCTAATGCCCAAATTATAACTGGACCAAATGTCATTATATGTTTATATACCCAACTGCAACCAGTAACCCGAAATTTCGCACATGACAGAAGCTCGTCTCATTCTTGTTCTGTACCAAATGTCTAAAATTACAAAGATATGATTATACGTTTTAATTCTAAAACTCAAGTCAATAAACTGCTTTTGTTTGGTTTTG